GACAAATAATAATGAAAATGCAACTTGATTTGAGTTTTCAAGTTAATTGCATACATTATTGTGTAGCCTATTTTCTGACATTAATTCAACTAATCCCTTCCCTGAAGGCTAGAACTTTAAATTTGTTGTGATCATTTTTAACTGTGAGGTCAAACCAGAGCCATAACTGCCAGCATGTTATAGTTTTTCCATTGTGCAAAAGGGTTTTCAAGTAGTAATTAGCCAATTAGTGAATGTGTTAATAAATACCATCTATGAAACTAGTCTAGAGGTTCCATCTGTAGAGCATGTTGTAGGGGAGTATAGCTCATGATCAGTTTAAAAATATTTGCCTATATTTTAAATTGTACAATTCAGGTGCCCTATGCTGTGGGCTGGGGAAAAGGAAGGGTAACTCCTTTCTCCCCAGTAAATGCACTAAGACAAAATAAACAAATTCCTTTGGTGTGGAAGAGGCAAATTAGAGCACCAATTTATGCTCCTAGGTTTCCACACAACTTGATCCATTGTATTTTGTACTTTTCCAAAGCATCAGTATCATTGGCCAGCATCACTGGACTCTGTATACATCCCAAGTTTCTTCCAAAGGTACTTACCTCATTCCATTTCAATGAACCCATATACTTACCTATCTTCTCCTGAAACCCCACAAGGACCACAGGGAGATGGCACTGCACACCTTAGGTGTCTACAAGGCAGCCGCCTTTTACTTACAATGCACAAAACCCCTCTGCAGAACTCCATGGCTCTTTGTCTCATCCACAGAGAGATTACAAGGGTTACCCATTTCAAAACAAAGACTATCTAAATGGATTTCAGGCTGTATACACCTAGCCTATAGTATATTTCAGAGGGACCCTCCATTCAACATACTTGCTCACTCCACAAGAGCGATGGCAGCGTCAACTGCATTCCTCTGGGGCATACCAACAGAGGAAATCTGTGAGGCTGCCACATGGGCCTCAGCGCATATTTCCATGCAGCATTATACCACTCAGACCCTGCGGACTCTGATACACATTTCAGCTGAACAATACTCTCAGTCACTGACTCACAGTGCCCACCACCAAGTACGACTACTGCTTTGTAATCACCTAAGATGGAGTAACCATGGGGACACACCTTGAAGAAGGGAAGGTTACTCACCTGATTCGGTAAATGGAGTTCTTCAAAATGGTTGTCCCTGTTGGTGGTCTACCACCCACCCTTCCTCTCCTCTGCTTCCAACTCATCTACATCTGTGTCAGAGAAGGAACTGAAGAAACAGTTGGCTGTACATGAGAAATAGCTGTTTCAAATGTCATGTACTGGCATTCTGTGGACACTGCTACCTAAAGTCTCTGATTAGTGGTGCAGCGTTGCTCAAGTACCTAAGGTTGAGTACCCATGGAGACAACCATCTTGAAGAATTCCAGTTATGGCATCAGGTGAGTAATCTTCCCTTTTAGGAATACACAAAGTCTAATGGCCACAGATACAATCACAAGGACAAAAAAAACGTGTCTGTATTACAATTTTTAAGGCAATGAATACAATTTACAATTACCATGCATATAGAAATCCCACAAAAACATGCTCTGACTAAAACATCCTATTCATATCCTCACAGATATTCTAGGGGGCAGTGAACCTGTCCATAATCGTTGATAGAGGTATTTGTTCTTCTGGGGTTGTCTATGGTGCTGTCTCTTCGGGTCTTCCTTACTTATACACAAATAGGGAAACTCTTTTATATTGTGGTTCTGACCACAGCAAACACTTTCTGAATATTCATGAGGATTTCAATCTTCTTTTCCTTATCTATACTTCCAAACCCTGTGACTACCAGGGTGACCAATTTTTCAGAGGTTGTTTAGTTCTTTTGGGGTATGTCTACACTACCCCGCTAGTTTGAACTAGCGGGGTAATGTATGCATACCGAACTTGCTAATGAAGCCCGGGATTTGAATTTCCCGGGCTTCATTAGCATAAAGCCGGCGCCTCCGAACTATCTGTACTCCTCGTTCCACAGGCACAGGGTTCGCACTAGCCGGCTTTTAAAAATGGCGGAGCCGGCTTTATGCTAATGAAGCCCGGGAAATTCAAATCCCGGGCTTCATTAGCAAGTTCGGTATGCATACATTACCCCGCTAGTTCAAACTAGCGGGGTAGTGTAGACATACCCTTTCTGATTAACCTCTCTACACAAAATGTATCCTATATCATCACAGGACATTCCATGATGTTACAATCAATTGTTTTGTGATCTTGGATAATACCTTGTAGTTTATTGTAATCTAGGGATTTTTTTAGCATTACCTGTGGGTGCATTTTTTACAGTAACCTTGTGACCTTACAAGCATAGAGTTATTTCTAGGTCACTTGCTCATGTCAAGTATTCTTAAGCCATGGCCAAATATGGCTAAGCTAAAATCATACAAGCCTTAGCTGTTAGGTGTAACAGTCCAGCAATGCTTTAATTATATACCTAATATATTTTCAGTGCTGCTAAATGTGTCAGTCTTATACTTCTATAAGCCTACAACTTAAGTCTATTTACTATACATAGATTACATATGAAATCTTATACAAATTGACCATAACACTACATAGCATAATGACAAATGATGATAATGAACTAAGGAACTACAGTATTTTATTTTATCAGTCTCAGAACAACTAAGTAGAAATACATCAAACTATTTTGCAAATATTTTATAAGCTTAGTACACCCACATTCCAGGAGTGTATACATATTTTCTTGTTAGTGCGACTAGTCACCCTGCAAACTGCATTGTATAAAAAGTTAACTATAGTCCTATTAAAGATATTAGCACAATGAATTGAAGTTATCTTTTCATTGTGCATAAGCTGTATCATTAATGTGATGTGTTCTACAGGTTTGACTTCCTTGGTCCCGGATGAGGAATTTTGCCCGACCAGGGATGGTCATTTCTCAGCCCACCCCATCTCCATCCCACCCCACCCATGGCCTTGCTGTCAACCTCCTAGTCAGCTCCCCCCCTCCCACCAGCCCCTCTGCATGCAGGGATCCTGGCCCCACCATGATAATCCTGCTTCTGGCACATACAGTCCCACTTCTGGGCTCCATCCCCGTGGAGCAGCGCACATTCTGGGATCCAGTTGCACTGCTGGCCAATAAGCCCCACTTGGGCTTCAGCCTCACTGGGCAGCCCCACGGCCTTCAAGCCTCCCCAGGCAGCTCTGCCTGGCAGCGGTGGGGCTGCTAGGCTTTTAGCTCTGCCTTAGGGCAGCCCCACTCATGGCCCCGCTGCCAGGCAGCTCCTGGCTCCACAGGGAAGCTGCACTGCCTCCCAGTCCCACCAAGCAGATGTGTCACTTAACAGTAGTGGGGCTGCTGGGCTCCTGGTTGTGCTATCAGGCAGCCCTACTGCCTTCTATTCTCAACGGGCAGTTTTGCTGCTGGGCTCCAGCCCTGCTACCTCCCTCCCTTTCCCTCCTCTCACAGTGCTGGCACCAGGCAGCAACACTGCTGCTGGGCTCCTGGTTGTGCTATCAGGCAGCCCTACTGCCTTCTATTCTCAACGGGCAGTTTTGCTGCTGGGCTCCAGCCCTGCTACCTCCCTCCCTTTCCCTCCTCTCACAGTGCTGGCACCAGGCAGCAACACTGCTGCTGGGCTCCTGGTTGTGCTATCAGGCAGCCCTACTGCCTTCTATTCTCAACGGGCAGTTTTGCTGCTGGGCTCCAGCCCTGCTACCTCCCTCCCTTTCCCTCCTCTCACAGTGCTGGCACCAGGCAGCAACACTACTGCTGGGCTCCTGGTTTTGCTCTCCACATGGCAGCCCTGCTATTGAGCTATAGCCCCGCTGCTGGGCACCAAACAACCAACCCTCCACCAGGACTCTCTGGTCCTGGGACATCCATGGTCCCGCCAAACCACAGATATTACCAGACCAGAGGGTCCTGCTTAAGAGAGTATGGATATGTAGTTGCTTCTAACTTGTTATACATCCAAACTGATGAGCAATATCTGACAGCCCATTGCACAACATGCATTGGAGACAGAAAAAAATGTCTTTGTCCTGCAGTATCCAGTATGGAAACGTTCAGATTCTGTAGTAAACTTCATCTGCAAACAGATTTCATGAATTTGTTTCAGTTTTAAATGGATTTTCTGACAAGTAGTTTGTCTTTGCCTTCTGTGATCATTGATGGAGAGTAAATGTCAAAACTTGAACAAATATTTGATGAAAACATATTTTATATTTGCCCAGCTGCAACAGAAGATCTAGTGTGTGCATCCATGTGCCTCTACTCAGAAAAGCACTTAAGCAGATACTTAACTTACAGAATATGGGTAGTTCTATAGAACTACTTGTGGTCTTGAAGCAAAGTGAATGCTTAAGTGGTTTGCTGGATCAGAGCCTCAGACATGTAACAGACACAACACCAGGTGACTGATCTTACCAAAAGCAACTATCCAATTAAGGTTGAAAAGGAAACATGGAAAGGTGTCAGAAAATAGAAGTTGAGCATTGTATGAGATGCTTCATTTCATACAGCTACTTATCTCTGTCTTTTAAACTAAAATGAATAAAATCAAATTGCAGATGTCCTGCTATAACATACTGACGATATAAAAATGAAATTAAAATCATACCTAGTGTATGCATGCTAATGTTAATAAACACTGGTAAAATTGACTGTGTTTATACATTTGTGATTGACTTTATAATAATTGTGTAACATTTATAATTTCGTAAAAGTGACCACATGCTTAAAAGTGCAATAACAATAAAAAGTGTTTGAAGTTGAAACCAACAGTTTGTAAAATAGTGAAGAAAGGAAACAATGAAAAGTGTTCACAATGTCATGCCACAATATTGAGAACCTCTTTACATAAAGCTTATTGTTCATTTTGTAAAATGGCTCTTATCATTCATGTTCCTTTTGAGAAGATTTTGGTGGTCTCTTTAATAGGTTACTGTGTTAACAGCCATTATCCATTAATTTTACCATCTTAATTGGATCTTTTTAGATGTTCAGCCAACTGGTCAGGCACTCAGTGTGAGAGGCCAGCTCCCAAGAGCAGCAAGTCTGACAATATCAGTACAAGTAAGTGCTTCATATTAACTACTGCAGCTTGTAAAATATTTTTACATTTAAAAGTGATACACTCATGATAGTATATGAATAGTATAGTTTACTCATTTTAGTATATGAGCATAGGAAGTAATGTGCTGCAGATTCCATTCTTTATTGGCAAAGATTTTGCTCTTATTTCCAATATTTTATTCATATGCAATTCTACATAAAACATTTTACAGTACTGCCAAACTATGGCATAATTTATATGCCCACTTCTTTAAACCCAGCATGAGTTTTTCTTAGAAGCAGCATTAGCGAGTGACAAATGCTTGGTGAAATTCACTCCTGTGGAGAGACTTACCACAAGGTTTATGACCATCGAAGTCATGCTTAAAGACTCAAAATAGGATTTAAGTGGTTCATAGGCTTTGCATTTGCTCTGCCTACACAATGGTATAATTTGCATACTGGGCTAATCATCCTGAAAGTGAGAATTGTTCCTTTAAATAAAATTAATACACATGCAGATTAAGCAGAATAGAACAATATTGGCACCCAAGGGTTTGTCTACATGCACATATAGTTTGCTGCAGGTAGGGATTTAAATTTACCTCACACCAGCTTGTCGCACACTAAATGTTCACGTAGACCCTACTGTTGTGTACATACACTTTAATCTGCTCCCATTTCAAAGTGGTGTACATCAAAGCACTCTGAAAAATTGCTAATAAGCATCAGTAGGGTCCACACAGAAAGTTAATGTGGGGTAGGCACTGCAAGGTAGATTCACTCCTCAGCTTCCCATGGACTAAAGATTCACATAGACAAGCTCTTAAACTGAATGAATTGGCTGTCGTGTTTTCAATATGTGGATGATACTTAATTTTACATCTCAGTTAGAATGAATCCAGTTGAGAAGTAGAACAAATGATCAGATAGCGGAGTGCAATTTAGCCTAGGCAAGACAAATAATGCTGATGGGGTGGGGCAAGCAGACAGAAGATTTGGTAGAATCTATATCAAATACCTTTTACTGAAGCAGCACAAATTCATTTGTAATATAGTTGTTCAACTCTGGTGTGGTGTTAGGTCCCATATGGCTCTTGGAAGCTAAGGTAGTAGCCGTAGTTAAGTGTATTTTTGTTGTTGTTTGCTCATGGTAGGATAAGCATGAACTTTTCTCTGGGGTATGGATCTTGCCACAAATATCCATGCCTTTATCTCCTCAAGATTAGATTGATGTGATTTTTTTTCTTGAGGGGCCATGCAAAAGCTGAATGCAGCAGTATGCTTATTAAGTGGAGATTCATATTGAAAATACATTGAATTAATGCTCTGCCATCTAACCTGGCTTTCAATAATCTTCCAGGTAGAATTCAAGGGCATTACAGGCAGTTCTTTGTTTCTATTGTGATTTTTATTATGTAGGATAGCTACCCAGAGCACTAAATGCCTTTAGCTGCATGTTACAAATATAAATAGACTGCCAATATCATTTTAATTTTTCACAAGGGATGGGTTGACATTTTAAAGTACATTTGTGACCTTCACCATAGAGGTCCATAAAGTATAACAATAGACTCGAAGGATACTTTCATTGTAACAACATATGCAATCCATAAGTGTTTATAACAAACTTTCCTTTTGTTTGCTAAATACCTGTGTTAGAATTGTGCAACACATAGCAGGACACCTATAAGCAGGACACCTTATACCTGAGAATAGTCTCTCTGACTACTGTGCAATTGTTTGCAACATGACCGGGCTGATAGTACCCTTCTCTTTCTTATATTGTTTTTATAAAACTGTCAAGCATAAGGCTACTATGCCTTATTTTACTTCTACATCCGACACTATTGCGGTTATCAACATAACTAGATTATTGGCTTTCAATGGCAGATCTGTGAAATGCAGGTATCATGGATGAAGTTGTTTAGAATATGTGTAGGGATACCTATATTGCCTTTTCATTTTCAATATTAGGTCCTCCAGTAAATAAATCTTTCTGTTACCTAAATAGAAATCACTGCCCTCTTATTAAAAGGGTAAACTAAACTAACACTTTGAGTTTAGTAGATTTTAGCAACTGTACCACATTTAGAAATCATTGGATTTACACTAGTGTATTCCATGTTCTTTCTTCTTCCTACAGGAAGCATTGCAATTGTTGTTCCTCTTGTTCTCTTGGTGACTTTGATCACTACTCTGGTAATTGGTCTACTACTTTGTAAAAGAAAACGAAGGTAAGTAATGTTGTAACATACTGGAAATTCAAAGATTCCAGGTAATATCAATGGCTGTAAATCAAGCATTTCAAAAGATTGTGAAAATATACATAATTAAACTAATAGTCCCACTCTTAAATCCACATTTTTAAATGTGGCCTTGATTTTGTTTTCTCACATTGAGATGCCTTGTGCCCGTTTTCCAGAAGTGATGAGTTGGGAAAATTCCACCTGAAAACAGTTCAAGCACTCAGCAACTTTGAAAATTAGAACCTACATATCTCAGACTGGGCACCAAAAGTTGAAGGGCCCAAAATCAGTGGCCACTTTGAAAAATTTGGGTCTATGCCTAAAACATCTGTTATCTGTCTCATGGTTATCTGAGATATGACGAGAAGCATGCAAGCAGTAATGCTAAAATATAGAATAGAAATTAATTGAAATGCTTAGCAATCTGAGGACTTATATGGCACCAATCACTGTGTTTAGATAGTGTTTAAAGAGTGATACAGAAAGTGGTTTGGATAAAATAAATACCTAAAAAGCTATTCATACTTTATTTCTTTAAATTTGAAAAAGTGTGATTAAATTTTCTTTTCTGTTGAAAAAAAGACCTGAAAGTCTTAAGAGACATTATTGTTTAACATATATATGGTACTGTAAAATATGATGCATGTTTTAAATATCTTCCTGGAAGTGGATTTTTCGGTTCCATTTTTCTGTGTCTTTGGGAAATAGATACTCTCACGGGTCAGCTTGGTTTAAGACTAGGAAGTTCATTCCTAACTTAAAAAATATATCTCAAACATTACCAGTGCCATAGTCCCTTCCCCATTGTTCTGTCTCAACTCAGTAGAGCCTCCTGTCTCAGAATGGTATTTCTAAAACTGGGCTTTCAACCCTGATGTTAAAAATTCACTTATTACCTTACCAGTGAAAATAACCGGATTCACCTATGGGAGAATGTTGGATCCTTTTAAAGGTGTTTCCCCATATGTAATCCAATTTGAAAGTTAAGACAGCTGTCTCTCACTTTGCACCTATGTTACTTGAGCTAAATTTGTCAATAACTACCAACAAGTACTCCAGCAAGTTAAGTTTCGACAGATACATAACTTCCATAATGAAACCATGTTCCCAGGTTCCCATGTTAAGTGCATATGGATTGAGACACAAATAAGTAAGCAGATAACCCTGCTGCTTTACCAGGAAAGACAGAAACATTGTCATCCCATTGGATTCCTCAGAGAGACAAAAGCAGAGAAAACTTCACTGGCAGATTCTGCTCTCTTTGACTGTTGAAAAAAATCTTGCAATGAATTTATGATGCTTTCCCTGGGAACTAGGGTGAATTCAGCCATATTGACAGGGGACATAAGAGCCATAACCAATGGGGCAGTGAATTCCTTGACTCCACACAGCTATAAACTCACTTATAAAGCTACTTCCTTAATGTGCCCCAGCTCAACCAGTGCTCACAGTGCTACATATTTCCCTTGATTTCCTGATAGGCCTTCAGGAATAGGCTCCTTTATTTATTTATGTATTTATTTATTTATTTGAGGTACTTTCTCAGTCTATAAAGCTGTTAAATAATATTTTTGGTATGTTTCATTCTTGAAGTGACTTGAAAATACTAGCCCCCTTTGTTTGTTTATATATACTAGGACAAAAACTATCCGAAGACAACCAATGATAAATGGAGGAATGAATGTAGAAATTGGTAATCCCTCATACAATATGTATGAGGTGGGCCATGAACATAATGAAAGCGGACTTTTAGATCCAGATTTCACAGTAAACCCAGAAAAGGTAGTACTATTTTTTCAATGACTATTTGTTTTATGTATTGAAATGAATACCTTTACATCAAATTAGCATGATTTTTCTCTCAAATGAAGTCTTGTATAATAATGGCATATGTTTGGGTTTGTCTGTTCATTCTGTATGATGAACATAAAATCAATTAAAGTGTAACTAGTGACAACATTATAGATTCTATGCATTGTCTATTTAGCACCCCAGTATATGTTGAGATGTTCTTTTGTGGTAGTCTGCATTCTCTGGATATTAAATTAAAAGTGAACTGTGAACTGAGACAGACAAAATCCTTGGACCTCTTGGCCAAACTAAAGTACGAGCTCATCATTCAAATCTTCTTTACTTAAATTCCAGAAACATTTTGGACTTTCTAGACCTTCTAGACCAGCAGCGAGGAGTTCTGTGGCACCTTATAGACTAACTGAAGTGTAGGAGCATAAGCTTTCATGGGCAAAGAACCACTTCGTCAGATGCATGCGTGCATCTGACGAAGTGGGTCTTTGCCCACGAAAGCTTATGCTCCTACACTTCAGTTAGTCTATAAGGTGCCACAGAACTCCTCGCTGCTGGTCTAGAAGGTCTAGAAAGTCCAAGACCAGTGTTTCTTAAATTGTTTCATGGTACACCGGTGAATTCTGTTCTCCATGGCAGTTGGAGGTGTGCCACGGAGAACAACAGAATTCAAAATGGCTGCCCTTCTATCCCCACCACTTTTTTTTTTTCTCAATAAAAAATCGTTGGTGTGCCTCATAAAAGAAAATTATTGTTTGGTTCTCCCCAGTCTTAAAAAGTTAAGAAACTCTGAGCTAGACTTTCTAATGGTAATGCATTACTAGCTCTTATGCTTTACAAATGTTAAGATGCTGCATTTGTAAATCTGAGCTTAATTTTGGTTACTTCCAAAAATACAAGTGATTCAGAGGTTTAATATATTAGCTGTACTACATAAAAAGAGCATTGCTTTTGACTCTCAGTTGTGTCATTTATAGGAGCACTGCTGCTCAGTGGTAGAGCTTCTGAGTGATGTGGAACTGGATGAACAGAGTAATGGTTCAATAGCTTTCTTAGAGCGATCAGTAGTCAGATGCATCCTACGGGACACCTATCATTCTCTGGCACATTTGACAAAGCAATAACTGGCTTACAGTTGTCGCTATGAATGTCACTACACTGTCACCCAGTCAACGTGCAACATATCACAGGGAAGCTGAACATATAGTATATCCACTGGTTCCTAGGCACATGACTGACTGATTGTTAAACCCAACTGTAATATTTTATAGAAAATGCTTAGTGCTGGCCTCATGCTGAATATAAAAATCATCCAAACTAAAGTCTTCATGGCAGTTTTCATTGTGGAAGACTAGTAGTTGTATTTAGCCAGTGCACTGCTTATTAAAAATGTCAACCTGCAAATGGAAAATTCAGTGTTATTAGCACAGAAACTAAACTATTCTGTTTATATGCAGGCCAGGTATATAGGGGGAGGGTCCACAGCATTCAAGCTTCCCCACACAGCACCACCAATCTACCTAAACTCTGATTTGAAAGGACCGCTCTCTGCAGGGGTGAGAAATGATAATTCACTTCCCATGCTCATTCCATCCTGTCCCCTTTCTGTGAAAAGTTTGTATATGTTATGTTAGAATAGCACCATTTTTGTTCATGTTTTCATTAGCAAGAAACAATTTACAAGTAGAAATAAAATTTCTATTTGGTTCATCTATGCCTATATTTCATCTTTGTCATGATAATGTTGGTCTAAAATGTCAAATTGAAAATGTATGTTTAAAAATACAGCAATGAGTAAATTATAACTTTTGTAAAACCTTATAAAAATGAAACCAACCACATAAACATACCAAACAGTGATAGGCATTTAAGAGTGAGATAAGATTAAAAAGGAAATGAAATTATTTTCTACTACTTTAAAGGGTATTTGAATGCATGAAGCTGAACAATTTCTGTACATCTTAACAATTTATTAATAGATTGGTTAAATTTCAATAAATTGTATTGCAAGTGACAACTAAGTTAACAAAACATATAGCTTAGTTTCAGTAAACCAGAGCAAAATCTCTTTAAAAGGTTATTGAAAATTGTAAAAAAATTAAAAGAGAGGGACATTAATATGCTTGATACCCCTTCATATCAAAAGATTTAAGTATTCCTCCTTGTCTCATTTGCGTTATTGTATGATTTAATTTAATGTATTTTGTATGGTTTAAAAAGTACAATACTGTCCAGGAGAGACAACACACCTAGTGGATAGGAGAACTAGGTTATAATTCCAGCTCTGAGACTGAGTTAAATTACTTTACTTGTCACTCAGACCATTCACTTTTCTATACCTTAGTTTTCCCCGATGCATAATATCTGCCTCAGACAATTATTAGGGGATAATTCCTTGTTTTAATGTACTTTGAAATCTCTAGAAGACACAATATACATGCTAAGTATGATTCTTCTTTATAATTATGGTATTGGTAATCAAATGAAAAGTCCTATCAATGCAAATAAAAACTGCAGTTCTGTGTCATCTCTAATCACTGGGGTTGCACAGGTGTAACTGAAGGTAGAATTCACTCCTAGATATTACTTCAGCAGGTGACAGTAGTGACAGATGGCAGAACAAGGAGCAATGTCTCCAGTTACAGTTGGGGAGGTCTAGGTTGGATATTAGGATAAACTATTTCATTAGGAGGGTGGTGAAGTACTGGAATGGGTTGCCTGGGGAGGTGGTGGAATCTCCATCCCTAGAGGTTTTTAAGTCTCAGCTTGACAAAGAGCCACCTGGGTTGACTTAGTTGGGATTGGTCCTGCCATAGGCAGGGGGCTAGACTTGATGATATCCTGAGGTATCTTCCAGCTCTATGATTCTATAATATATTTGTGTTGTGACCTATTAATATAGAGCAGTGTTTCCCAATTTTATTTGGCCATGGAACGCTTTTAAACTCGGAAGAATTTCGAGGAACCCCTAGGGAAAATTTATCGAGCAAAAAAAAAAAAAGAGAAAAGAGCCACCGGACCTGAGCTCCATGATACCCCCTTTCCCTCCGCCAGGCCCCCAGGAAAACAGTCTCCTATATGGAGCTGAAAAAGTAGACCACAAATAAGTAAGGATAATAATAATAAACAAATGCTAAATAAGGTTATGAGATTAACATTTAGCTTAATTGCACATATTTAAAAACAAAAATCACATTTAATGTGTACAAAAAATAAAGCTAAAAAACTAATATGAATTATATTGGCAGTTTTCAATGTGAAGAGTGTTTTTCTTCTTTTCTTGGCAAATTTTTTTTATATTTTGTTTAATACTAAAAAGTTAGATTTGCATATCTGGCGCTGCATTCAGTCGATTTCTGTATTTTGTTTTTGTTGCTGCATAATTTGAGAACCCGGTTTCACCCAAGCATGTGCTGGTGAATGTTAACAACTGAAGAATTGCACGTCTTGATAAAGCTGAATATTCTTGACATAAGCCGCCCCAAAATGTAATCAGAGAAACTTCTTTACATTTTTGTATTAATTGGCCAGCTGAAGTGATTTCAATTAGGTTTCCATAATTTTGCATAGAAAAACTGACTGGCTTTCCAGTTATACTTAGTGGATTTGAAATCTAGTTATTGCTGTCATTTATGGTTGGAAAATACTTCATTATGTTTGTGTATAAATCACAAAGATGACCTGCAATGTCCTGGCCAGGAAGACGAGTACAGGAGAAAGCTTGAGGCAGAGTTGTCTGGCCAGGAAGAAAGGTACAGGAGGGTCTTGGAGCAGGTTGTCTGGCCAGGAGGGAGGGCACAGGAGGTGTCTTGGGGCAGGGTGTCAGAGCAAGCTAGGAATGCGGGGTCTTGGCAGGGAGAGGGGAGTGAGGGGCATATGGGTTCAGGGTCTGGGCATAAGGGGGATGCTTATCTGTCTTCGCACCCTGCTATTGCAGGGAAAGCCTCCAGGAAGCATGGTCTGGTTCCTGGGGGTGGGGGAAGGGAGGGAGCTCAGTCCCCCATCCCCACCCTGCCCATGCAGCGGGGAACCCAGCATAGCTGCAGCACCAAGTCATGCTTCCCGCTGGCATGCCGGGGATGGGAGTAGAAACTCTGACCTTCCCCACCAGATCAAACTCTGCCACTTTCCCAGCAGGCTGGGGAGGAGCTCAGGGGAGAGAGAGCAGCAGCACATGGGGGGCAGCAGAGCCTAAGCGTGCTCCAGGTGTGGGGGAGCAGCAGAGCCTGAGCCGAATTCCACGCAGGTGGCAGTTTTAAAATGCTGCGGTCCAAGAGTGGTTCCTCAGCCCCGGCTATCCCTCCCCCTTCCAACAGCAGCAGCCGCTATAAAAGCGGCTGCCTGCACACAAGGCGGAGGCAGCTTCAGGGCATTGGAACAGGACAGTCCTGCGGGTGAGGAGGGGCCATGCTGTGCGCGGGGGAGGGGCAGCCACAGTGGGTGGTGGAGCGGCCAAAGCCGTGCGCCCTCATAAGCTCATCCTCACCGGCAAAGCCCCAATGGGAGCTGCCTACAGGTTCTGCAGGGGGCAGGAGAGCAGATTTTTTTCACAGAACCCATGGTTCCACCGAGCACCATTTGGCAAACACTGATATAGAGGTAGGAGGTTTTTGTTTCATTTTTTTCAGTGTGACTTGCCTCTTTCTATAATACAAGGAAGTGTAGAACTCCAGACAATCAGATAATTATTTGAAATGGCAGATATGCCGCTTCTGATCCATCTAAGTTACTATGATTGCTGCAGTGAGCCAAGCCATAAAAAGACTTCAAATCCTGGCTTCTTATTTGGTTAGGGGGAACAGAGAAATTAGGTTTTGAAACCTTTGCTCTGTCTCATTAGGCAAAAGAGTGGTGAAGCAAGTTAAGAAATACCAAAGTAGGTGCTCCTGACCACAGGAAACTTTGTGATCTGTGATGAATTAGGCACCCTTCCCAGTGACTATATATATAAAGTGGAGAAATCAGATGTTATAGCATAGGCAATCCTCTGTTGAGATAACTGAGTTATAATGGGTCATAAAAGGGGAAATTCACATACACATCCTCCACTCATCCATATATTTAGTGGTAGTTCAGTATTTCTCTCATGTATTGTAGCCACCTAGAGCTCTAGTCATGGAACAGACCCTCACTGCTCGGTGCTGTACAAACATAGAACAAAAAGCTGATCCTCCCTTGAAGGAGCATATTATCTAAGTAAAGGACAAAAGATATTACAGGTAGGGGAGTAGAAGGAAAGGAAGAGCCATATTAGGGCCAGACAACAGTCAAAACACAGAAGCATTCTAGCCCATTGTCAAGTTTTTTTATAGGTATCATGATAAAGGAAGGGTTTGAGAAGGGATTTGAAGTTACGTAATAAGTAGACTTGGCAGAATTAGATTTTGTAAATAATGAAATAATTTGAACAGGTAACATCAATATTTATTTTTGCTTTTTTAGTTTTATCAATTTAAATTGTTTGTTGCCCAAAACTATGGATTTTAAGCATTTTTTACATTTTAATCAATTTGCGATTTCACAGTTGAGGGATATTATAAGGAGGCTGTTGGACAACAATCATTTAATGACAATGGAAGCTGTGATTCAAAAAGTTAAAGCTTTAACCATTACAACACAAATTGGCAATATCACATGTCAAAATACAATCAGTAAATACTCGTAAATCAAATTGCAGTAAGTTCTCAAACAGCACTTTTCTCAGTTTGCCCATCTGTAATTTTCGGTGATCTATGGAAATATTTTTTCATCTGTTTGTGCTGTATGGGGACAACATTTATCAACATTTACCAATAAAAACCTAACCTTTCCAAACCTAACAATGAGGTAGCTTTGCAGATATTTACAGGAGCTGCCTCTTGGAGGTATAATCTAGAAGAAAGCACAAAGGTGCTCATTTGAAAATACAGCAAGTTTACTTATTGCTTTGCAGAACAGAGATCAACTTAAGCACATATTTAAGTCACATTGATTTGGACTGTGGTTTAATCCTTAAACTAGCAAAACTATTGCTATTGAGAAGATACTTCTATATTTGCAGATACTACAATATCAGTTATGATCTCTTATTTAAGTTACAAAATGATAGCAGATTTGGTCAAACTGTATATTTAGACCGTGGTTTTCCAAAATATGGTCAGCTATTGGTTGAGTAGTATTTCAGTCCTGGGGATTACAGTGGATGAGAATCTGGATATGAGTCAACAGTGTACCCTGGCAACCAAGAAGGCCAAATGAATATTAGGGTGCATTAGGAGGAACATTTTCAGCAGATCTAGAGAAGTTATTATTCCCCTTTATTCGGCTCTTGTGAGGCCACATCTGGAGTATTGTGTCCAATTCTGGGGGCCCCACTATACAAAGGATGTGGATGCATTGGACAGGGTCCAGTGGAGGACAACTAAAATGATTAGGGGGCTGGAGCACATGACCTGGGAGGAGAGGCTGAGGGCTCTCTTATTTAGTCTGCAGAAGAGAGGAATGTGTGTGGGGGGGCGAGGGGAGGCGGGATTTGATAGCAGCCTTCAACTTCCTGAAGAGAGGTTCCAAAGAAGATGGAGAGAGGCTGTTCTCAGTAGTGGCGGATGGCAGAACAAGGAGAAAAGGTCTCAAGTTACAGTTGGGGAGGTCTAGGTTGGATATTAGGAAAAAATATTTCATTAGGAGGGTAGTGAAGCACTGGAATGGGTTATCTAGGGAGGTGGTGGAATCTCCATCCCTACAGGTTTTTAAGTCCTGGCTTAACAAAGCCCTGGCTGGGATGATTTAGTTGGGGTTGGTCCTGCTTTGGGCAGGGAGCTGGACTTGATGACCTTCTGAGGTCTCTTCCAGCTCTATGATTCTATGATTGGCCAGATGCCAAGATCTTATAACAGTCTGTAGGAATCTGTTGGTTACAGATTGTCTGACTACACCAAAAGAAGGACAGGACACATTTGGCATATGTTTAATCAGATCACAACTTTGGTATTACATGTGTGGGACTACCTGTAAGATAAAAATGTACAGTGCAAGCAACACCCCATTTATTCTGTAGCTACCCAGGGGATTTTCACCGACTCCCCCTCTTTTTCCATCCAAGTACCTTTCAGCACATCTTTTGTTGGGGCTCTACCATCCATCCCCATCATATAAGAGTTAAGATGGGGTATATAAATTTGCACACCATTCCTGAAATTCCCTTTACTAATATTTTTAATCTCTTTTCAAGCCATTTATCCAGTCACTGTATACCTTTCCTATCGTATACCTGGACTGGACATCCACCACAAGGAGGCACCAGCAAGTACACCTGCCTGGCTAGACATATTCTCCTTTGCTTTTGGAGCTACTCTCCCATGCCTTCTTTACCACACTCTCCTTCCCTTTTTCTTACTGCCCTGCTTCCATGGGGAGCCAAGCTGAGACATGCTGGAGTGTTATATTCCCTCCTGATTCAACCTGCTCTGTGTAAGAGGGAGGCTTCAGCCACAAAGCTGTCTTCTTTACTCCTTGAAAAACAATTAATCGTCCTGTAGCACCTTAGGGTATGTCTACACTACCCTCCTAATTCGAACTAGGAGGGTAATGTAGGCATACCGCACTTGCAAATGAAGCCCGGGATTTGAATTTCCCGGGCTTCATTTGCATAAGTTGGGTGCCACCATTTTTAAATCCTGGCTGGTTCGAACCCCGTGCCACGCGGCTACACGCGGCATGAACTAGGTAGTTCGGACTAGGCTTCCTAGTTCGGACTAGGAAGCCTAGTCCGAACTACCTAGTTCGTGCCCCGTGTGGCCGCGCGGCACGGGGTTCGAACCAGCCGGGATTTAAAAATGGCGGCGCCTGGCTTATGCAAATGAAGCCCGGGAAATTCAAATCCCGGGCTTCATTTGCAAGTGCGGTATGCCTACATTACCCCGCTAGTTCGAACTAGCGGGGTAGTGTAGACATACCCTTAGAGACCAACAAAAAATGTCGATGGTATCATGAGCTTTTGTGGGCCCAACCCACTTCTTCAGATGAATTCATCTGCCCACAGAAGCTCATGATAGTATTTACATTTTTTGTTAGTCAATAAGGTGCTGCAGGATCTATTAGTTTTAAAGTTTTTTTCAGTTACAAACTGACACGGCTATCCCTCTGAACCTTTTTAAATCCTGTATTCCCAGGGGGTGAATCAGCAATTATACTGACCCTTTTGTAGTAGATTTCATTCTCCTCCCTGGCCCAGCTATAAAGCTCCATTCTTGACATTCCGCATGTGCATGTGGACACACACACACACTTAGGTAATGGATTGTCATTCCTAAAGATCTTAACTCTCTGGTAAGATTTGCAGAAACCCAGGTAAATATTAAAGACGCTCAGTTATGCTTTAATATATGTGTTTCCCTTTGTTTTAATGATTCAATTTTCCTTTTCAAACAATAGTTGTTAATCTAAATCACATACTATCTATTTATCTTTTTCCACAGCCGACAAATTACTCCAATCCAGTGTATGCAAAGTTATACATGGATGGGCAAAACTGTCGAAACTCATTAGCAAGTGTTGATGAAAGAAAAGAACTCCTTCCAAAGAAAATAGATATCGGGATAAGGGAGACTGTGGCATAATCCTCTGTTACCTTTTATACTCTGTATAAATGTATAAAATATAAGGATTACTTTTCTATGTACCCAACAGTATTATAATTGTTTTGGCATCAGCATTACCTCTGGTATTTTTTTTTTTGTTTGGTTGATTGTTTTCTGGATTTTTCTTTTGCTGATGACTTTTGACTGACCATTTGTAAGGTATTTTTATGAAAAAGAAACTGCACTACAGTACAATTTACAACAATGCTGCTGATACACCTTTGAAATTTGTTAAAATTAAAAACAACATTTGTTTGTAGTGTGAATATGAGCAATCTATTTTGTATGAACTTTTTTGGTTCAACTTAATCAATGAAGATGATATCTGCACCTTTTGATTATATAGCCTGAAACCTGTAGTACAGCGTGTAATTTTGTTTGTTTAAACAGTGAAAGAATGATTAAAAGGTCTACTCTCTTTGTGCCCATTAGAATTTCATCTCAGATTCTGTTAAAAGTAGATAACTTTTCTTCACACCTGAGACATAACTTGTTTTTAAGATTAGCTTTCAGTTGCCAAGAATTAAGCAAGATTATCAAAACATCTGCATGAACACAAATGAGTGTTTCAGAAATTCAGCGATTGTACATGATATACTAAACATATATACCATGTAAACATACTTGTATTGAGTAAAACATCATAGACCATAGTAGAAATACTTCTTGAAAGTAGAAAGACTTTATTTGCTGTGGGACAAGGCCTGTGATCTTCAGCAGTCCTGTAGTACAGTAGCCACCCTAGAGCACAAGAGGGCATTGCCTACACATGTATTATATGTTTATTCACTCAATCACGTGCCACATTGTATATGATCAGTTCCCCATCGCACACCAAGCAGTTGAACAAAAATGAAATGTAAGCACACACATTGATAACAGTATTCTGATTTACCAAGTTAGAAAAAAAAAATCTTTGGCCAGAGATATTAAAGGATCCAAGAGATGGCAGTTTATATTAATGATGGTAGTCTGTGATACCACTGATCAATATTCTATATTATTGAAACGTATTTCAGACCAATTGTGAATTAATTTTAATACTTTGGGTTAAATGTCAAAACCCCATTATCAAGAATGGAGAGTATCAATGTAATTGGTTTCCAGTACTTCCTCTAGTACTGGTTTATTTTATGTAGTTGTTAAGAATAAAAACAAAACAAAATTAATTCCACTTGCCTTTTTGAATTTTCACAGAAATAAGGAGTACAATTGCTTTAAGTTCTAAAAAGAGTTGAAATATTTTATACAGAACTATAAAGGCACAAAATACTTATTTACACAGACATCGCGGAGGGCTTTTTGTTCCTCTGTGGGACAAGTTTGACTTTTTCCTGTCATATTAACCGAAAAGATTAAATATGTTTGTGGTTGCTCTTTATTCCCTTTGTACAAGTATTACAAAAATAACTACTGTTTTATAAAAGATTTTTGTTGTACTATGTGCATGCATACTACCTATTTCTAAATTTTGCCATATTGAGGCCTTTATAAACTTTTGATTTATGTAATACTAGTGCAGGTTTGCTTGGAAAATGTTATGCATATCATAAACTTTTTCAGGTTCTTGTTTAAGTACATTTTTTAAATTGAACAGTATTTTTCATTTTGGTTATAATAGTCATTTTGCCTATGTTTCTACAATGAAGTGTGAAATACTTTATAAAAAAATTGTTGACTGACTTATTTAAATGAAGTTCTACATACTTAATTCATCGTGTTGGGTAATTTTTAAAGTTAGGCCATATGGTTATATAGGCAATATAAAACCCCAAAGGAAATTAAAAGGAAATAAGAAAATACATTTTACAGGGGCCAGGAATACACAAGACCTTGAATAATACCTACCTAGAATACTTAGCTGGAGTTGGCTTACCTTAAACTGAGTTTGGTGGTATTCATACAGCAGGATGCCAACTGGAGCAAACATTCCCGTAGGCTTCCCATAGTCCTTGCACCTGTGAGGAGTACAGGTGCCATCTGGAGCTGCCCTCAGCATTTAATTTGGGGTCTATAGTAGACCCGCTAAATTGAACTCCAGAACATTGATCTCTGGCACAGTGAGTGAAGATGTGCCTAGGTAGTAAAATATCGAGTTCAGTTTAAAAAGCCATTTTCTGCTCATTATAAAAACCTCTATCTCAAAGGTTCTGCAATGGTGTGAGTGTGCTGATACCTCAGAAAGTTTGTCGTCATATTTTATTCCATTGAACATTTCAACCCTACTTTTTCTTTTATAAAATCATTTAGGAAATAAGTATCTTCAGGTAATATTTACCATGTGTAAATAAATAGTCCATCCACTGAATATGTTAGTAAGAAAAAAAATCTAATGAATGTCAGTCTAACTGCTTAGTCTTGCTCTTACTCAAATCATTTGAACCATAATATGACCTTAACTTTTGCATCAGTACTTCTGCTGTTTCCATAGATATGGCTGCTAGTCTTAACGAAGAGCAGATACAGTCAAATTTCTGTTAGTGCATGTCCACATAACGTACTTTTAAAAGTGTAAACTTCTCTCTAATAGTGAGCTAACTCAGTATAGCTGATACAGTACCCAATATTTCTGCACATATTGAAACAGATTCTGAGTTCACACCAGTATATAAATAGAGACTTTATTCACTTTGTGAGGGATAACTACTCACTTAATTGAGTGTAAATGTTATTCCAGATTTATACTGTTGTCATGGAGATAAGAATCTGGCCCTATACCTCAAGGAAAATCTTTGAACCAGATCCTCATCTGTACCTTAAAATCTCTACATTCATGTTGCTAAGCTCTGACTGTTGATAATTGCTTATATGAAACATAACCATGGATCTGTGGATTGCATATATAATTTGAGGTGCTTTTACTGTTTGTGATTCATGAGGAATTATACCAACAGCTGGCAATTTTAAGGTAAATATTTACCATCCATTTGCAATAAAGTGTAAGAAACTACAAAATATGCATAAGTGGAAGGAGATAGATACAAATTATATACATATAGAAATAATTTGTATTATACCTATAGTATGGAATTTTTTCAGTATCTTGCCTTTGGCTCAGTTTTTAGTGTGTGCATCATATTCTTACTGATGCATTTCAAGAGGAGTTAAAAACAACTTTTGTCTAGTAATTAAATCTAGTTATTAAAATAATTTCATTCAATCTAAAATATCACAAGGATCTATAGACTATGATTGAAGGTTTCCCCTTTTCGTTACTGAAGATATTAATGACAATATATGAAAATCCAGGCACTAATAGTTCTCAGGGAACTGACAATCTGAACCAGTAATGGGAAGGTCTTGCTGAAATGTTCGGTGTCTAACTGATCGCCATATTTGGGGTCGGGTAAGATTTTTGGCAGTAAACTTGTTGATTTTGTTTGCCTTTCTCTTCAGCATGGATCATTTGTAGATTGAAAGTAATATAAATTGCAGACTCTCAGTAACTTGAATGCTTTAAGGCCTTCAGTAAATCATCCAGAGTTTGGGGGTCTGGTACAGAACTGAGAGGGCAAAGTTGAGTGGCTGCAAATGTGCAGAAGGTCAGACCTGATGGTCCCGTCTGCCACTAAAGTATAAGTCTAAACTCTACAACAGTTGGTAAAATCTAACCCTGAAAGATGCTGCCCATACCCTTCATGTTATTATGGGAGTATTGGGCAGACCATGTGAAATGAAGGGCTGCCAACAGAATTGTGGACCCCTGAGCAAGACAGGGGAGCAGCTCTGGGATCTTGGGGTCTTGGGAGGAAAGGGTGGGGCTAGTGGCTAGTCACCCCCAACCAGCCCTTCAGTGATGCCTAACCCATGTCACTCATAGTTCCAGCAGCAATTTGAAGAGCCCAGAGTTCCAGACATTGACCTAGTAGCAACTAAGCCTGGGGCCCTTTTAAATCACAAGGCTCTGGGACAGCTGCCCCGTTTGCCCCTCCCTCCTCCTCCATCAGCAGCCTTGGAAAAATGAACTGCTGGATCTCAACTGATCCCACTACAAACCATCATGATTTGTGATGGAAGCATCCCTAGTCAGCAAATCACTTAAATACATACTTTGCTGAAATGGGGCCTTACACTATGTAACCATTCATGTCTCTAGTCTGTCTCCTGAGACTGCCAACAAAAGTCACCATGTGCAGTGAAGCACATGTGCACCTCTTTGCAGGATCAGGGCCTAATTGGCTTTCTCACCTACAGAAGTGATGAGCCCATCACAGTAAGCTGCCAGAATAGCAATGAGTCACTTTGTGGAAGACTGTTGTGTCTCTGTCACATGACAGAGAACTTTTTTCTGCAGTGTCTCCAAGCCAGTGTCACTTGAGCAATACATTCACACACAAATTAAAAGTTATGAATAGCATAAGGATTATGCTTATGCTATTTTGGTTGAAACAAAACAGGTCTGTGCTCCTTATTCCAGCAAACTGAAGAGTAGTAATAAAATCAGAGCAAACCATAAAATGCTATTTAAGATAAGCATTTGTACTTTGACTGGCATTACTGAACTAATGCTAGTCATCTTGTTCGATCGTGATAATGCCACTCTGACATCTGTTATAGGAGAGGCCCACTGAGAATGGTTTAAGTACTAGTTAAATGCTCATGAACAAAAAATCAATATAATTCTGTATGCCACAGTAATGACTTAGATTTATTTAAAGTGTAGACTTATCGTTGTAAAATTAATTTAACAAATGATGGTTAATGGCATCTTAAAAATATCTTTGAGGAAATCAAAAATTTCAGCAGTAAATCAGAGAACAAGGTTGGTGAAGTAATATCTTTTAGTGGAGTAACTTCTATGGGCCACAGAGAAGCTTTTGCATTTACACAGAGCTCTTCTTCAGGTCTGGGAAATATACTCAGAGTATCACTGCTAAACACTAGATTGTTTAGCATCAATGGTTAATACATATTTTAAAGGCCTATTCAAGGTGAAATGGCCCATTAACACCCCTTCAGTCATAGAGGGAAAAGAAAGGGAGGGCATGGCATTGGGGTTATAGTAGATTACAGATGGTTGTAATAAGGCATATATAATCTAGAGTCTCTGTTCACTCTATAATTTTCAGTCTCTAGAAAAGTTAGGACTTAAAGCTCCCAGATTCATCTTTTTTGAACTTGCTCTGCAGATTTCCTCTGTAACTGAGGACTGAGAATCAGCATGATGACTCCGTGAAAAGTGTCCACCCACCAGTGATACAGTGGTTTTGCCTTCGATTTTTTGTTCTGTATGATTTCATTCAGGAGTGTAGTTGCTGTCTGGTTTCACCCACATAGTTGGTACTGGGGCATTTAGTGCACTGGATGAGGTACACCAAAGATTGTGATAGTCACATATACAAACCTTGGATTTTGAAAGGTGTGTTGTGGGGGAGTGTGGCGCATAGCAGTGGAGATTTGTCTGCATCTATTGTTCTGGCAGGATCTGGTATCCTTCAGAGATGGGAAGTCCTATCTTTGCTTCTGATGAGTTTGACAAGGTTCTGGGGTTGTTTGAAGATCAGAAGAAGGAGCTCAGGAAAGATTTTTTTCAGTATATAGCCCCATCAAATATAGGTTGTAATTATTTAATGATATCTCGTAGACGTTCCAGTGTAGGATGATAGGCGTTCATTAGGTATGCAATGGGTAAGGGGTGGATCCCTAAAGGTACTGAGTGGCATGTTCTATGATAAAATCTACTTCTCTCTCCCTTGCTTGGTGAAGGTGGATTTATGTGTGTTATGTGTATATTCTATGGTAGCTGAGTGCACGGCTTTAGCTAACAGATTTTTAGGTATGTTACCAGATTTGTCATGATATGTGTGGTGATCTGTTGGTTTCTTGTATATTGTTGTCTGTAGAGCTCCATTGTTGAATTTGACTGTGGTTTCCAGGAAGTTGATGCTAGTGTGATAGCATTCTACAGAGAATTAATGGAAATTAATGGATGGATGGTGGATACCAAAGTTCTGTGAAAATCTAAAAGGGAGTTTAAGTCATTCATCCAGAACAGGGGTGGGCAAAAATTTTTGAGTGGAGGTTTTTGAAAGTGGCTGCAGGCCACCCCAGAAGGGGCAGAGCCTCAGAAGGGGCAAAGCCTCACATGGAAGGGGTGGAGCCTTTAAGTAGCTGGAATTGAAAGGGCTTGTGCCTCCCCTTCAGCTCCCAAGCATCACGTTAGCTGGAAACAGGAACTGCAAGCCCTTTCAATTCCTGCTATTTAAAGGACTTGCTGATCCTGGCCTCACTGCTAGTGCATTGCCTGGGAGCCGGGGACATGTGAGCCCTTTCAACTGCTTCTATTTAGAGGTCTTGCACCTGCCCTGGGGCTGTTGCCTGCCAGCCATGGGGAAGGCATGAGTCCTTTAAATAGAAGCAGTTGAAAGAGCTCACATGTTCCTGGCTCCCAGGCAATGGGCTAGTGTGCGGCCAGAGCTACAAGCCCTTTCAGTTGCTTCTCTTTCAAGGGCTTGTGCCTGCCAGGTGGCTGCCAGGCAACACAGCTGCTGGGGAGGTGCAAGCCCTTTAACTAGAAACAGTTAAAAGGGCTTCCGGATCCCTGTGCTGCTAGTGCGTTGCCTGAGAGCCGTGGGGAAGGTGCAAGCCTTTGAAATAGAAGCAGT